TAGAGAGGATCCTTATCTAGGACCAAAGATGGTAGTAAAGTGGTATTTCGCGGCTTTCAAAGTAGAAGATGAATGGTTGTAAGTATTGGTAGGGCAAAAGTAGTAGTAATTGTAGTATGGGGCAAATGAAGAAAGATCTAGAGTAGATTTGGTTAAACCTGCACTGCATTCACCACCACCAGGTACAAAAAGATGTGGGTTTCTGATGGTCCATGGTCTCAATTATGAATGGACAGTGACACCTGAGGACTCATCCTCATTCTCAGAAAAACAACTATTTGAGCCTCCATTTGAGCCAAGGGAATCTTGGCACCAACTCCTGCCACCCAAAAAAAGGTATCAACTCCTGTGCCAATGGTGGGGGAACACAAGTCACACTCTACCTATCTAAAACTCTAAAACAATATCAGAGAGGTATTGGTGGAGTATAGAGGGAGGGTGATTGAGTGGGTGGGGTGGAGTGGGATGATATGAATCACCAGCAATGGCCGTATATTCCAAAAGTGCAATCAAAATATGGATCAGCTTTATATATCTTGTTTGGCTAATTTCGGCAGATGAGCATCATTCTGGGTATCTGGAAGCACTTGGTTTCTGTTTGTTTTCTGGGAAAAGTTGAGAATCTTTTCTCTTTCTCAGTGAACGTACTCTTCTGCCACCACCAGTTTGGCATTATTGCCACTTGGAATATTGAATAAGGGGACTGCATATATGGTTGGCTTGTTGATGGACACTCCACCCCCACCCCCATTGCAGTCATCAAACAAGACATTACTTCTCCTCTCCTTTGCTTGGGTCAATTTGTCCATATTCTTAAGTCAATTTGGTACAGTATTTGCTTGGATTGTGAGTTTTGAATTTAGCCTCCTTGTTCAGTTATGGTCTGAAACCCAAAAGTAATCAAAGGGGGTCCGGAGACTCAGTTCCAACCATTTTTCTTTTTACTTTTCCAGAACAGAGCGTGAAAAGACATAAAAAGTATATTAGGGTTAGGGTTAGGGCTAGGGTAGGCTTGTACATTTATTTTTGAGTGAATTTTTTTACGTATTCACGTAAATGTAGTACAAGCTCTCTATGTTAAATTCTTTATCACATTGTTATGAACTGTGACATCTCATACTACAATTCTGAAAATGTGTTTGGAACAAAATGGGAAACACCGAAAAGTGTTTATAGTATATGTATACACATATACATATACAATTGTGGGATGCCAATTTGCTAGTCATAAAGTGAATGGATAGATTAGTTTGAGGTTTAGACTTTTGAGTCAGCAAATTTGAGTCTATTCTTTAGAATGGATTGGTGTGAGTTTACGAATAGGATAGGAATTAAAAGTGTTTATTTAAACCTTTTCCTCTTTATCTCTATCCATTACGCCGTCGGATAAATAGATGATGCTCATGTAAAATCGATGGGCCCCGCCCTTTTATGCGGGTGTTGTATGTAGAAAAAGGTGACAGATTTTGTGCTGTTGGAGCACAAACGACAAGCCGTGACAAACCCATTCTCCTTCAAAGCGTGCCTAGTATACTGTATCAAAATAGTCTGGATAGGCAAACTCAAGGCGTTCAAATTTATTATAATATAAATAAAAAATGTCAATAATTCTAGTTCGAGATAAATAGTGTCTTTCTGAGTCCTTAAAGATTAGTCGGGAATATACATCCCGTTCATATAACTTATTATATAAAATAATAATAATAATAATAATATTTGTGTTTGGATAGGCAAACTCAAGGTATTCAGATTTATTACAATATAAATAAAAAATATCAATAATTCTAATTCGAGATAGGTAGCGTCATTCTGAGTCTCTAGAGATTAGTCGGGATGTACATCCCGTTCATATTATATAAAATAATAATAATAACAATAATATTTGTGTTTGGATAGGCAAACTCAAGGTATTCAAATTTATTACAGTGTAAATAAAAAATACCAATAGTTCTAATCCAAGATAGATAGCATCTTTCTTGTGTTCTGGAGATTAGTAGGGGATGCGTTCATATAAACTTATTATATAAAATAATAATAATAACAATAATATTTTTGTAAAATGTTGATAATGGAGTGATTTAATATGAGAAGAATGAAAGCTGAGAAACCAGAGGAGGCCCACTATCACGGGTGAGAAAGTGATGGCAATGGGGCTTTTATCCTACAGAGAAGAATCGTGTGGTCAGTGCCGTACTGCTACTTGGCTCTTTTTCCTATTGTCAGCCAATCTCTTTGCAGATTCACTTCATTTTTACCATTATTTAGTCTATATACATGTGCATATATATATATATATATATATATAATCATTGAGTTTGGAAGAAATAATATTCGTTTTGGTTTGCCCTACTTGGCCCACTCTTATTCTGGATATCTTCTTATTCATTGGCCCGTCCAATGAGTATATCTTATTTGATTTGATTCGAGAATTTCAAATTCTATTGTTTAAAATTGTTGAAAATATAATGGAATCTTGATAAACGGATCTTCTCGGATGTTAGATTTAGTAAGAAAAGAGTCCGAATGGAGAGTGAGTTTTATATAAGCACTCGCGTAAATCAATGATTGACGGCAAATCCTTTATTCAGTGCTCTTCCCCTATTTAATGAAAGTCTAATGCACAATAATAATAATAATATAAAATATAAATAAAAAAAGAAAAAAAGATAGAGATCACACTTATTAGTAGAGCCCATTTATGGGATGATATATATCCAACTTTTACTATGCACAAGAAAGAATGCAAATTCCTATGTATAACGTCCCAACAAGTTGTTGATCATTTAATCAAATTTTACATTGTATTCACTTTGATTAGGTGAAGTTTAATTTTCACTTGACTGGGTGGTTTTTTCCTTTTAACAAATGGACGAAAATTCAATTGTTTCGCCTGACCATTCATGTTTGCAAGTGTAATACATCAAATCGAAATTACTCTCCATTTCAAATTAAGTGTTCTGTTATGAAAAACGTGACTCACAAATAATTCGAAAAACATAACACTTAAATTAGGATGGAAATAGTATAACGTTTTGAGTTCTTACAACATATTAAATTGGGGTTCGACGAAAAAAAAAAAGACCCGTGTGTAGCAACCCCTATAATAACAAATGATTGCGCTTCAAAAAATTGATTTATGGATGTTGGAGTTTTGGGGTATCTAATGTTATTGCAATATAGGAGTCGTACATATTGCTATAAAAATTCCTATGGTTTATTATTATTATTATTATTGGCATTATTATTATTATTATTATTATTATTATTATTGGCAAGAAACTCACACACTCATTTTTCTCTTTTAGAAATTCAAACTTTTACCATTCATTTTGGAAAGTAGAAAATATACCACTGAACCACAAGGCCTTTGATTAAAGGGCAAATTACATCCAACACCCATGTGGTTTACATATTATGCACTTAAATAGAAGTATGGACAATATAACAGTAAGGTCCAAATTGACTAGTTGACTTTTGGAAATGAAATAAATTTACATATATGACCTTAAGGCACTTAACCATTATTTAAAAAAAAAAAAAAAAAAGATTGGAAGGAAGGTGATGAGGGTAACTTACAACGCAATTTGGCGGTAGACAATAGAGCAATTTGGAACATGAATATGCTTGTTGGCATTGGTGCTTAAGAACTTATATGATGTAATATTTATAACTTGTTGGTCTGTATAAGTACTTGGTGAATTAGTAAGAATAATATAATATATTGTACCACACTTCAAAAAATACCACACTACATGACCAATGTATACACAAGCATATACTAACATGATCATAGTTGAAACACAAAAAATGAATATGCTAATGGTCTTGGTTATTCCTAATATGGCCTAAGTTGTGTAGTTACATGCAAAACACAGATTAATGTAAGACATTGGTTTGACGGACCATTGATGTTCCATGTAAAACTTAATTCAAATAGTGGAGAAAAAAGTTTTGCATAGCGGGACGTAGAGATAAAGAGAAATGGTATTTTTGTCCTTTTTGAATGATGTAATTTCAATTCAACTAATGGATAATTTGGTCTTCTCACAATAACAAGGTTATTTTTATCAAAAAATATAATTATCCTACATTGATTTGATGCATCATTTAAGATTAAAACCATAAGGGTAGTTGACGAATAAATCACACATATTTCTATTTAGGTGTACAAAATGAAAACTTTGCGCGTGCGCGAGAGAGTATTTCAGAATGATTGAGAAATCTTGCAAATAGCTCCTGGGTCTTATAGAAGATAATTGGTTTTTCTTGGTGGACCTATACATTTTATCAAACCATATTAAATGTTTTTTTTCTTTTCCTTTTGAAACTCAAGTTGTGCAAGTGGTGACGACCAATAAATTGGCATATCAAAGGACATGACATTTATCTTAATTTTATTTTTCAAAAAAATAATTTGAATCCCTAACATTTAAATTGAATTTTCAACCAAATACAAGTCATCACACTTGCTTTACTTCACCCAAAAGCCCATAATGAATAGTCGCATACATAAATTGCTTCCTTGTGTGGGTAATTTTGCAATATTTACCATTGCATGACTGCAACAAATTAAACCTTTTTTTACCAACTACTTGAATTTCACTACATGATTCCTGTTCTTTTATTCTCTAACATTCGTGTAAAAAAAAAAAAAAAAATCCCTAAAATTCATATTTATTGGTGGACCTAATGCAATCTCCTCCTTTTACTAAACTTGAAATTGACTATGTAAAGATAAACATTCATAAAATTTATTTGTGATTGAAACAACTCATTTTTTAATACTCATAATAAGTTTTACATTGACCCAAATGTACCGGAGAGGCCTGAGGCACGAGCCAACTAACCAATAATGATGGTTGGCACGCCACGTGATGGGTCCCGCTGCCAATGGTGAATTGGGCTCTCCAGTACTGTACTGGAGAGGGTGGGGTTTCTTTATGAGTGGTACACCCTTGGTCTCAATTTTGGTAACTATAGTATTCTTGAAAGGGCCAAATCAACCGTCCATCCAATGTATTGTCAACGAGAAGTAGACTTATCAAACGGTGAACTGTTGGTTCCTTCTGGAGTTCTCGCACGCACAGTACCAACAGTTCCTTCTAGTCCCGGAATTATCGCGAATACCAACCATTCATATTTTTATACGTGTCGTACCACCTAGCGTTTAGGTGATCAGCACCTGACGTCACGTGGGAGGCTGGGTCCCAATCTCGCGAAGGTTCGAATCCGACCTTTTCCGTACGCCACCGACGTGGGTCCACCTGAATGGGACATGACACGAGGGCCATTCGACCTGAAAAGTCGAAGATCTCGGCGGTGCGAATGTGTGAGCTGGAATGCATTGCCGATTCACTGGGCAACCAACCCCTCACCACTGGGCCAGATCCTAGCCTTCCTAGGTCCTACTAGAGAGTACCATTGTTAATTTTTTATTTTTTTATTCATTTGTTTTTGCCATTGTTAATTGAAAATGCTAAATACCCTGCGATGCTGGGCCAAATGATTTTTTTTTTTTCGCTTGATTATCCAAATGAGTTAGCTGACCAGTCACACATTTTGCCTCCGACGTACTTTGGTTCTCATGTTCTCATTTTGTGTGATTTAAATTTTATTTTTTTACACTTTGATTATGAGCGATTTAAACTTTATATATATATATATATATATATATATATATATTTTTTAAAAAATACAAAATTACTCAACTCCCTGTGCTCTAATTGTAATGTTGTTTCTACAAATTTCTTTTAAAAAAATTAATTTTTAAAAATAAAATAAAAATACCCTTGTTGTATAACTTGCAATTGTTGATGCAATTTTGGAAGGTGTGGTTCCACATTGAATAAAATGTGTGAATGATTGTACCTAATATTTTACAAAGAATAAAAGTAGTAGGAGTGATCCAGATCACATTAGTCTCTCTCACACACATCCCCAACTCTGGTATCTCTTCCTCCATGTTACGATCACATGCATCATGAACATTCACACATGCATTACACATTTCAATAATTCATGTAAAGTATTATCATGCTTTATATCATTTTTGTATCTCTTTCCCACTGGATTTGGAAAGTTTGTCTCATTTTATTTTTAAAACGAAGAGACAGGATACAAAATAGATCGTAACCCTTTGGACAAAGTTTTGAATTTAGCATTCATTTGAACAATAATGAATGTGATTTTTTTTTTTTTTTTTTTTTTCAGAAGGTAACAACAATGAATGTGTTGCATATATACTGGCGAAATGGTAACTTGAAATACACTTATTTTGATACGTCCTCCTTTCTAATATAATAATTCATCTTTTCTTTTTTCGGTTGTCCTAAAATATTTGTCTTGAATGTTTACTTTACCCGCACCAGGGGGAGGGGCTTTGAGCTCTTACCTCACTCTGAAAATATGTCTACTTAAAAATTAGAATATCTGGAGAGTACAACCATTTGGCGGAGATTTGAACTCTTACCCCTTTAATAACTAGAGAGTTAGGAGTTATTGGGGGGTTTGGAAAAAGGGGATTCGAACCTAAAAATATAAGGTAGGGATACTTAAGGTCTGACCATTGACCACTCGAACAACACCGCCACACCTTAGCTCTTACCTCTCACTCTAAAAGATATCTGTTCAATCTTTTAGAAATAAGAGCTAAGGTGTGACAGTGTTGTTCGAGTGATAAATGGTCAGACCTTAAGTATCCCTACCCTATATTTTTAGGTTCGAATCCCCTCTCCCCAAACCCCAATAACTCCTAACTCTCTAGTTATTAAAGGGGTGAGAACTCAAATCTCCGCCAAATGATTGTACTCTCCCGATATTCTAATTTTAAAGTAGACATACATTTGGTGTATTGTTCTCTTGGTATCTCTTGAATCTTCCAGAGTGAGGTAAGAGCTCAAAGGCCCCCGTAAGGGACATTGGGGACGAGGAGAGTATCATTTCTTGGTAGGTTTAGGATTTTCCATATCGAAAAGGGACATTGGGACGAGGAGAGTATCATTTCTGTGCCGTCGCCATTTATTATCTTGTCCTGTTGGCAAAGTCCCAATTTTTTAACGGCGAGCTTGGGGCCAGTGAACTAACTTGACATAGGACCAAACCGCCCAATGACTGGAGTCCTAATGCTTCTTTGTTGGAAACAAACTGCAGCTAAATGGTTCACAAAACTGGCTATATCCTCTTTATGAAACATATAACCAGAACTACCCTCTAACATCATTTACTCTTAAGGGTAAAATCATAACATCCCCTTGTTCTGACTAAAGTGATCATTTTATCCCATTCCGCGACAGATTTGTTATGCAAATTGTGAAATGAAAAAATTGATATTACGGTTTTAATTTTAATTTAAAAAATGAGAAGGGTATATATACATGGGCATTTTGGTCGCATGGAGAGTAAGCATGTTGGTGTCTGATGGCAAACTAACAGGAGTTAAAAGGGATTTCACGAGGTTTACTTAGTACAAGGGGGTTATATGCATAAATTTCATAGTACAACGGGGTTTTATGATATTATGGTTTTAACCCTTACCCTAAATAAACCGGGACCCAGCTTTTGAAACCGCATTTAACATAGTTCTTTTTGTTAATGGGCGAACAATAAAGATCCAACCGCTCCTTTTAAGATGTCATGCTAGTAGCACTTCAACCATTATGCTACAACTTTGCCAATGTATTTCATATAAAACTGTTGCATCAAAACTAATAGATCAATGTAGTCATAATAAATACACAATGGCAAATATAAATGGTTTGTATAAACAGAAGGCAGAAAATGTACCATGGGATCGTATATATACTCAAGGCAGAATTGTAGCCAATCCGTGTAGAACTCGTATTTGATTAATATGCAACCGTACGGATGTAGCTGTAGATTGTAAGGGAAAACAATGGGTCACAATAGAGGTATTGTAAGCAATAAGCCAACATGTAGGTCAAACAAAATATGCAGACAAAAATACCAAACAATGTTCGAGTCATCACACGTAAACTCAATTAAGTAGATGACTGAATGCAAAGGACTTTTGAAAAATTTGTAAAGCACATGTAAAGCATAAGCAACTTTTGTAAAGCATCTTTACCATATTTCTTGTTTCAAATTTGCCTCCCAAACTGGTACTTACTCCATTACTCAAAAGCAAAAGCAACTCCTAAACCGGACTCAACTTCCAAAACTGGCATATTTGAAGCATGCTTGCTCATAGGCTCATAGCTGATAATTGGAAATATCCCAAGTCAGAACTTTAGTGTCTTTATTTGTATTAGACATTCCACTCTTAGTTTTTATCTAGACCTGATTTCATACAGTAGACAAGACAACAAACCACATCCAATACATATATCCACATAGGAATGAAGAAAAGGGGGTAAGAATCCACTATGCAACAGTGTTTGAAACCTAATATGTTCCATCCATCACAATTACAACAAAAATATTGGTCTAATATTTTTTTTTTTTCCAAAACTTTCTTTTTTTTTTTTTTGATAAGTTTTTTTTTCCAAAACTTTCTTAAAAAGCTGTTTGTTATCCATAGAATTTGACACCCATAACACATTCTTATGCAAAATTTTACTTCCCGTCGTCTTACGTGTAATGTGTTGGATTTGTGTATCTTACCATGATTAGGACAACTCTGGCCTGATTACAATTGGCAAGCTTCCTCTCATACCAGATATGTCTCTATCAACTTCCACTCCCCATTCTATATAAACCCCATCCCAACTCATACCTTCCACCAACTTGATCCCGCAAGCAGCATTCCTCATCATAACTCCACTCTGTTCACCCCAAAGCTAACCATATCACTGCTACAACAAAAACACAGAGAGAGAGAGAGAGAGAGTTGTTACATTTAATGGAGATTTTGTCCTTCTTTAGTTACATTCTCCTTTTTCTCGGGAATCTTCTTTCAAAATTTTTACCTAAAAAACGAAAGAGAAATCCCAAACGAACTACTAAGCTTCCCCCGGGACCGATGGGGTGGCCTTATATAGGAGAGACTCTCCAACTCTATTCTCAAAACCCAAATGTATTCTTTGCTAAAAAGCAAAAAAGGTTAACACCATCTTTAAATGTTATAGTTAATTTCATTATATTGCATGTTTTCCTCTGCATGAAATTTGACTCAAAGTGCCAATATTTTATTCAGATATGGAGACATATTCAAAACTCACATACTTGGTTGCCCTTGTGTTGTGCTGGCAAGTCCCGAGGCCGCACGGTTTGTGCTAGTGACTCAGGCTCGCTTGTTCAAACCCGCATACCCCAAAAGCAAAGAGGAGCTGATTGGCCCTTCTGCACTGTTTTTCCACCAAGGAGACTACCACAGTCAACTAAGGAAGCTGGTTCAAAGCTCATTATTTCCAGAAGCAATTCGAAAATTGATTCCTGACATCGAAGCCATAGCAATTTCTACCTTGGAGTCACGGGCTGGTGGGCAGATCATTAACACCTTCCATGAGATGAAGAAGGTTTGTTTGACTTGACACTTCTAACATATATTATTACTTCATTATTACAAACACTATTTTATGTTGAAACTCACGCTGTCTCTGCCGCTTGCCTTATCTTTTAATAATTTGGGGCTTGTGATTCAGTTGTTTTTTTCACATATTGTTTCATGGGCCCTTAGAATTTTGTTTCCATTAATGAGTTCTCCATAAATTTGTGATCAATGGGTCCTCCACCTTTATGTTTGGAATATGCTTTCCTAATATGGGATTTATTATCTTCTACAGTTCACTTTTGAAGTTGGCATTCTTTTGATCTTTAGTCACTTGGATGGAAAATATAGGGAAGAACTGAAGGAGAACTACTGCATAGTAGATAAGGGTTACAATTCTTTTCCAACAAAAATACCAGGAACTGCATACGACAAAGCACTCTTGGTAAGCAACTTCAAATATCACTTGCTATTCTAGTCTCTGATTAGAGCATATTAAACTAACAATTTCTTTCATCTCTCTGTTGATGATGAAACTTTGAAGGCGAGGAAAAGGCTTAGTCAGATTCTAAGTGAGATCATCTGTGAGAGGAAGGAGAAGGGACAATTAGAGAAGGATCTCTTGGGTAATCTACTGAACTTCAAAGACCAAAAGGGTCAGTGTTTATCCGAGGATCAAATTGCAGATAACATCATTGGCGTACTGTTCGCTGCACAAGATACAACAGCTAGTGTCCTGACATGGATTCTCAAATACCTCCATGATGATCAGAAAGTTCTAGAAGCTGTTAAGGTAAGAACCCCACTCAGGCTTTACAAACTCCATTGCTGGCCCCCATGATTTATGTAGTTTACGTTTTTATCTTAAACATGATATTCTTACTATGAAATGGCATAAAATTATCATGATGATGATTTTATTTACTTTTTTCTTTTCAGGCAGAGCAAAAGGCGATATATGACTTGAACACTGGAGGAAAGCAGTCCCTGACATGGGCTCAGACTAGAAATATGCCGCTTACTTATAGAGTATGTTAACTGCTCACACTCTTGTGATGTGCTTGATTGGAAGCAAATTCATAGAGAGAGTTTTCTGAACTGTATATATCTCTAATTTCAGGTCATATTGGAGAGCTTGAGGATGGCGAGCATCATTTCGTTCACCTTTAGGGAAGCAGTGGTTGATGTAGAATATGAGGGTAAGGATTCAAAGTATATTGAACTAGACCTAAAGTGGTATAAAGATTAAAAGAGGCTATAATTCTGTAATCTTAGCATGCTTCTTTTTCAATTATCCTTTAAATACTTAATGGGATTGATGTGTTTTGACAGGATACCTTATTCCAAAAGGTTGGAAGGTGATGCCATTGTTCAGGAGCATTCACCATAATCCCGAACTCTTCACCAATCCTCAACATTTTGATCCATCCAGGTTTGAGGTATGTGATAATGCTGGAAAGTTGACTCTCACACTGATCTCTCTAGAGAAGTGAGAGGCAAATAGATTCAATGGTTTTCTTAATATTACTTATTTGGTTATGGATGGATACAGGTTGCTCCGAAACCCCATACATTTATGCCGTTTGGTAATGGAGTGCATGCTTGTCCAGGGAACGAGCTTGCCAAGCTGCAGATGCTTATTTTAATCCATCACCTGGTCACCAAATTCAGGTAAGATACAATATATTTTACTACACTAATGCATTCTTTCCTTAGAACCAACATTCCAGCAAGATCTAAGAAAACTTGTAAAATATATTGGAGTGCTTTCTTATGTTTCCTGGATGTTTTGTATCTGAAACATTTAATAATTTGAACAATTAGAACCTCAATATAGCTCAAATTGAAACAGAGTGAGAAATCATAGACATTTCCTTGTCAGGGCCAATTAATAAGGGCTCATGAAATAAGTTTGAATGGATTAAAGAGACAAAATGGTAGATGATCTGTGCAAGTAGTGCATAAAGTTAGGATGTGCATTAGACACAGCAATTTTTTTGACAAGGCTCCTTTTGTTTGTATTTGATGATGTTGGTTGCAGGTGGGAGGTGGTGGGTTCCGAAAGTGGGATTGAGTATCGCCCGTTCCCAGTCCCTCAACATGGTCTACCAGCCAAATTCTGGGAAGATTCCAGCACCCCAGAAGTATGCCTCCAGCAGGAAATCGCTTTACGACCTTATATTCAGAAAGCTACTCTTAATTAATATGATGACATGTAAATCGTTGTTTTCAAACTGCACTTAGTGCTAGTTAATAAGATAATTGCACGTAAGAAGATATTATAATTTTTAAATCTCGACCCTCTGTTTTATGGGTCCATCTTTCTCGCTAATATCATTGTAATTACAAGTTGGAATTTTGTAACTACGATGCGACTACCTAGTAATAAAGAAGAGTAGTAGTGTACAAAATTTCATAGCCTTTATTAATCAAAGAATTGACATCATTTATGTAAGGAAAATAATAAACTCACAACCTGTTTTACAGCCATCATATGAGTTTATGCAGGACCCAAACTAGCGCATCCGACAGTTGTGAAAGAATTGGTCACCCTTCACATTCTACCTGGTCGGTCAGAATAGCATAACGCTTTACGTAATTCATGACATGTCACCTCATCTGTATGGTTCGAGAATGTGTATTGCTTCACATGGAGGTCGGTATCAGAGGTCTCAGAAGTGACACGCCTTAGTTATCAATTGGCCATGTGAAAAAGGAAATGCCCTTGGATAGAGGGCACCCTCTCAAGTAAATTAAAGCTTCTTTTTATATTGTGGAGGAGGGACCCATACCAAAGCACACAATTGTAGCTACCCCTTGCTCATTCTGAAGCTGTTGTGCCTTGGCCAGTGTCCCCTCATGTGATATTTTGAAGGATCCAAAAGGTGGTGGTGACCCAGACCTAAACGGCAGTGTACTACCCCAAGCTCTAACTCAACTCTTTAGCATGGATGATTCCAAGTTTCTAACCTAAAAAATGCTACTCACTGATAATCTCTCTCACAGTCCGTACAGTAATGGGAATATAATGTGGAAAACCAGTTTCAAGATGCAAGTTTAACAAGAGTTCTAAGATGAAAAGAACAAACTAAAGCCTGAAGAGAATCAGGGCCAAGATGATACAACTCTCAGTGAAGACTATAAAGAAGCTCAACATTCAACACATGCATCTAACCAATAGTAAAAAGAAAGAAGACCTTGAACTGTTTCCTAGAAATGTAGAAAATCTTAGCATAATATACTACGTTTCTCAAGCTTATTTGAGGTGTCCAAAGGAAATGGGAACAATTTCTACATTATATGGGGAAAATTTATTCATTGGTTCGAGAATTAGGGTTTGTGCCCAAGAAACAACCAAGAAACACGACAGAAAATAAACATGCCACACACAAAGAACGAAAAGACTTAGCGCGGTTTGGCAAAACCTACATCCACGGTGAAGATCCCATGAAAGAATTCACTATGCGAACAAGTTTCAGTCCCCAAACCCTAGCTCTCGCTCTCACTTTCTTTTATGTGATTTTCAGTGTCTCTTGATGTCTCACTTCAAACCTTAAAAAACACTTTTATATTGGGCTACAAGAGAGTACTAAATAAGGTTCACAACCCGCAAGCAAAAAACTTGGTCAAATTTTTTTCTCAGGGCGCTGCCCCCGACCCCCTCAATCAACAGGTTGCATTGCGACCCGACACCAAATTTGGCCCACAACATCACTATGTCTAATAGAGTGTTTCGTCCAAGCGTGGTCCAGAAGCTTCCTAGTTTTTGTTTAGGGGTAAAAGTACGTGTTAACTTCATGACTCACATGGAAACAATTTTATTATTCTCTAATAGGATCACTCAAGCACCATGATTTTTTATGTTTCAACTTGGATTAAGGATGCTTTAGGGAACAAAAGGATTTCTTCTTCCCATTGCCACTAATGTTAGAGTATCATCATTCATTACCACTGCATTATTATCATTACTATAATTAGTGGAATGTTACCAACATGAAAAACCATAAAATCACTACCGCCAAATCATCATCTAATAACACAATGATGTAATAATCACCATAATAACTGTGGTAAGGTAGTTCCAATGAACTTCACCACTTCAGTAGCAACAAAATTACAGCCATCCTGACCATCATCTTCAGAGGAAAAAGTAAGGGAAAATCTAAGTTCAAAAATACCTTCCTCTTTTTTTTTCTCAGCAGCATAACAATTGCACTTGTAAGCATTATATTCCAGCAAATAAAGACTTGGTGCCTTAGAGAATATTCATAAAATCAAGAACCTAATGAATACAGAAGTTAAATTACATATTCAGATTTATTATATAGATTCATCAAAACTAATTTACAATTATCAAACAATTGTAACATTTGATGGTGATGATGATCATGATATCAACCAAATGAAGATGACTTACACCTATTTAACCAAAAAAGGGCGTTGACCATAAAATTGATTCCTTATTACTTAAAGGTGGCTAAAAAAACTTCTCTCTATTTTCCTGAAATAGGGGGGATACGAACACATGAATTATCAAGAGAGACAAATGAACTTCCATAAGTAACCTCAATTATTAGGTAAGATCCTGAACCTTCAAGTATAAACCCTTAACTAAATTTCCTCATCCTTACAACAAATTGCTCTTTTATACTAATTTGAACATCATAATCATGTGATTAAGCCCTTACAGTACCAATGAGGTTTATGATTTGATAAATTTAGCAATATGTCATTTTTTCAGTCATCAAAAGTAAGTGTCATTTTCTCCCAAAAAGGCTAATATATAGCCAAAAAATACAAGCCACGTAGCAAGTATTCCATCATTCATCTTGATGGTTAGTAGTATCGCGAACCTTCAAGCAGTGACGTAACTGAACCAAAAATGTTGAAAGCGTCTTGAATCACATGATATATCCACAAGAGAATGGTGACAAACTAGGCCAACCTAATCTCACTAGCTTTGTGTTGCTTTCTTACCATCTCAAACCTTTGACCTCTGTAAACCAACTCAGGAAACAATATAACCTTGCCAATGTCTTATATTTCAATTTTAGCACAATTCTAGTGCCATTTAAACCCAACAGTAAAGTGAATTTGTAAAGTTGCTTCAAATTATCATCTATCCATTAAAAGATTTTTACAGCATAGTGTCATGGACTTGGACCTTTCCAAGCTCACGTGGCATGACAATAGGCTGACATTGCCAATTTCAATAGCTGAAAATTCTTAAGCAGTCAAATTCATCCAATAGGAATTATGAAAATGGTCCATATCTACAAGAATATGACCTTCACAAAGCACCAAAATCATTGTCGATTGAACCAATGAAAAGAAATAAGCCCCAGCAACAGATTAACAGCCTGTGCCTCCTTCAGAAACTACGAATGAATTCAATCTAAATTTGCGTGCATGCTTATCATAAAAGAAAGAAAAAATTAGGGAACTGTACAATAAAACTGAAAAATCAGAAACCATAGAGATTTTATTCATGAGATCGTTGGTTCATAAAACAAATTAACAACATAATTCTGATAAGCAGTACAAGAAATTATTACATGTCAAGATAGTCGATAAAGCTGTACCAATGTCATGTAACAATTTAAATCCCAAAATTACCATACCTCAACCAAAGCTTCCCAAGTTCCAAATCCTTTCCATTACTTTGCAAAACCTCCTCTATACACTTGCAGCAGTCCAAATGACATTCGATAGGGATATTTCCTCAATTTTAGCCAAGGAACCTTTTATTTTTGCACATTGGAGAGTTGTACTCAAAACTTGGACTTCTAAATGATTCTTTCGGCACCTGTAACATAATGATCATTGTATTGGTCATATTAACTTCCAAGATGAAGAACAAGATACAACTCTAGATCGGAGTCGAGAAGAACACAATTTAAAGGACTCAACCCAGATTCAAATTCTGTGTTGGGATAACCCTAAATTTAAACAAGTAAAAAAAAAAAAAAAAAAAAAACTTATTTATAGGACTAGATGATCTTGAATTTAAATTTGGGGGAGTGACATTGAAAGTTTCATAAGGCAAGATTTATAAATCCAAACATTTCCAACATAGTTTAAAAAATAAAAAAAAAAGGTTTAGCATGCGCACTAATTTTACATAAATTGTGTATATACGAATGCTCATATATAAATTGTTTATAACTGAGGAATTAAGAGAGCTTCGTCTGCAAATTTAAATATTAGAATTTGTATTTGTCACACTGAAGAGTAAACTAAAGTTTGTTTTAATTTTTTTTTTAGAAATGAGAAATTATATTAGTTCTCAGCATTCAATTCAAACTTTTATGCTTTTGTGCAAGATATGAATCAGAGATTCTAAAAAAGACAACCACAAATCAAATGGGCGAGTGTAATGAAGAGAGCACTTACAATGTGATGAAGCTCATTCGGGCACCAAAATCACATCAATCAGAGAGAGACGCTTTCATCCGAGGTATTTCTCAGCGATCGGCGTGTATTTTTTCTTCTATGCTCTGTTTCGGCCTTTTTTTTTTTTGGTCTAACATAAAATCATTACACTTTATTTATTTATTTATTTATTTTTATTATTATTATTATTATTTGCTTAAAATCAAATCCTTACACTTTATTTATTTATTTATTTTCATGCATTTTTATAGACAAAAGCGTAAAAAAAAAAAAAATCTCTCATTTCATTCCATTCTTAAGTTGCATTTCATTTCAAGTTGCATTTCATTTCATTTATGCAAATCAAACGTAGCCTTAGCTCATTAATTTTAGGGTAAAGTGTATTAAACCCCTTTAAATTATTAGTTATTTGCAAGAAACCCCCCTAAACTATAAAAAACACGCCTGAACTATGATTGTTGTTGTAATTTACCCATTTAAACTATTGGTAATTTGCAAGAAACCCCCTGAATTATGATTTTGTTACAATTTACCCCCCCGAACTATAATTTTGTTACAATTTACCCCCATAACATCAGCTTTCGGCACTGAAAATTTTAAAAGACTAGTTTACTCTTATAACACACTGCGTCGTTTTAACTTATACACTTCTTACAATTTTTTTATTATTTTATTATTTTTTTTTTCTACCAAAAGATACTTTTCACCCAACACAACCCAAAACAAAGAGCTAGAGAGAGAGAGAAGAGACCAAAGAAATTCGAGGTCGACGGGATGGCTCGGTCTCGAATGATGGCGGCTTGTGCGCAGGGGAATCGGCTGTGATGAGAGCTCGGTTGACTCGGCCGTGAACTGTGGAGGCGACGGTGAGCTCAAGGGGGCTCAGCGATGAACTGTGGACGACTATGTGCTCGAAACACGGACGACGGTGTGCTCGGCTATGGAGATGGCGGAATGGGCCGGCAAGCTTGGAATGGACTGGCGAGGGAGGTGAGCTGAACAACAGGTAAGGCGGTGACGGCAGTGGGCTGACGCAACGGTGCAGAGAAGTACGATATATACGGCCAACGAATCTAGCGGGTGGCGCAAAGGCTACGATGGAGTTATCGCAAGAGACCCACCGATCCCAACAACAGATTCCTTGGCTTATCCAAACATTCCTCAGACGACATCTACCATTCCGATCTCAGCCACAAATTTCTCGGCTTCATCGTCCCTTTCAGTCAATCAATTCGCGTAGATGGGGTAAACTGCAAAAAAATATATAGTTTAAGGGGGTTTCTTACACATACCCAATAGTTCAGGGGTTTTTTTTGTAACTTTTATAGTTCAGGGATTTCTTGCACATACTCCAATAGTTCAAAGGGGTTTAATGCACTTTACCCTCAATTTTATTAGAGGCTTTTTAACCTTCTTTAAATTACAAAATATTCCTTTCCGGTGGTCATAAGTGTCAAATATCGATAATACCCTCTCACAAGTTTAGATCAAAAGAGCAGCTTGCAACTAGCCAACCAATAGTTTAAAAGTTTTTTTTTTTATATTATTTTTTGTACTTTTGCCATATATTATTTTGGACTGTTTATAATTTATGAGTTTGATTTGATGCATACGTGATAATATATATATATGTTCATGTCCATTATTATACTTACTATTATATTGAACTATTTATAATTTATGAAATTGCAAAAACTTTTATGGGTTTATGAATGATGATTTAATACATATATATATTAATATATATATTCACATATATGATTGTAGGTGAGTATATATATATGTTCATGTCCATTCATTTACTTACTATTATTCTGAATTATTATTATTTTTTTAATTTATGAGACTGCAAAAACAGTTTACAGCGGGTGGAGTGAGCAATTTATTATCGTTACAATTATAATTTATTTTACTACTAGTGCTACTATTATTATTATTGTTATTATTATTATTATTATTGCTCTTATTATAATTACTATTGTTATTATTATGACTTATTATTATTATTGTTTTTTTATTAATATTCTTATTCTTAATTTCTTATATTATTATTATTACATCCTATAACAAAATACTCAGTATGTATTACTACTAAACACTATTATTATATTTCTACTTTCTTAAAGACTGCAAAATATATATGTATATATATATATATACTAAAATTTTGCTTAAACTTTTTATTTTAAAAATAAGATGGTAATTATGATTCACGAGGCAAAAGGAAAATTTTCACCCTAATTTTATTTTATTTTTTCTGTCTTATTAATGTTAAATTATTTGTTTTTATTGATAAATATTTCTTTTCCAACTTTCATTTCCCTAATTACATATTTCTTAACCATTTCCGTATCAACTTTGCTTTTCAAAATCAGGTATCACCAACTCATCCCTCCTTCGACCGTACATTGTTTAGTATTCAGGCAAGCCGCTCCGGTGCGCACACCGCCCCATTGCCCCCTTCTTTCTCTCTCTACTAAACCCTCTATGCTCTAATCTCTCTACAGCAATTATACACACACACATATATATATATCGTCGATTGCGTACATTCTCTATCTGCGTATATTTCTTGATGCGGAGTTGAAGTTTCTCGTGGTCGTGGATTGACTATGAATGCGTGTTCCTGAATTAGAGGTTCGAATTCTCTCATGGATTCGATTTGGATTCACAGCAGCGACCCAAGCGCTTGGCATTTCATTCTCGCGATCCTATTCGCATTTGGTTTCGTTGCCCTCAGGGTTATACTTGACAGATTCTTATTTCGTGTAAGTTTTTCTATTTGTGTCACATTTTGTATAATTTTTTGCATTCTTATTGCTACTTTATTGAATCTTGAAATGGAATTCTTTCGTAATGGAGAGCCTCTTTTAAGATTTTGATTATTGTTGCATATCAATGTACTTTTTATAAGCTAATTTAGTAACTATATGCATGCATAATATATAAATCACATACACACATGAAGACAGAAAATTTTTTGGTTTCTAGAATGTAAGCAGGAAAAGAAAGTGTAAGAAAGCTTGAACGGTTGAGAGTAATTAGATGACACCGTACATTGTACATTTCCACTTAAAATGTTCCGGGGCATTCTCATTATAGCTTGCGGTCAGGCTTCAATGCTCACCCTGAAGTATCATGCGCTAGAGATGCAAACAAGGCATTCAATTATGTTGTTCGAACAAATCTATTGCAATACTACTTATCCAGGCTTAGAAGCGCGTAATCGCTTCTCGAAGATAGTTGAAGCCTCTCCCATGCGCAAACCGTAGATGAATGACAGCAGCATCTCCGGGATTCAACTAAGCCCGGATATGAAATTTGTATGTTCATGAAGGTTGCACTTCTCTTTGGTGTGAACAATTCCTTGAGAGGGGGGTGAAAAAACAATAACACTCAAACTCAATTGTTTAAAATACTTCTCTCAAAACTTTAATGCTAAATCTCTCTTGATTCTTGTTTTGAGACTATATGCATATGTTTTTTAAAAGGCTTCGTAGGACTTGTACTATTTAGATAGAGAAAGTATTCCTCTTTGAAGTTAGAATTTTAAAGTTAAAACTTAAAGTCTTCATTAAATAGAGTTAATTAAAACTAATAAATTCGAAACATAACTGCAACATATGTAAAATCGGCCTATAAATAGTCTTAGCTTAGGGCATTGAGTGGGTCTTTAGAAATGCAAGAAAGTGAATTTTCAAGCAAAGAAGAGTTCAACAATCACGGAATGACATTGTCTCCTTTCAAACAAGTTTATTATGCATGGTTACCAAAGGCACTTGATATTTATTCTGCAATCTTCTATATATATGGTTTAATTGTTTAATCACCGTTGATTTAATATTGAGGATTCTGACCATCTTTAGAGGGAGAAATTAGCCTGCCCAGGTACATGATACATGTACTGCTATAGGTCATTGAAGTTTCAGCTTTGGCATTCCTTTACCAATCTCAGGATGAGCTACTGAGGTACTGATAAATATGGAAGCTTTAGGTGCCAAACATCTTAAAGAAGATGAAGAGATGTGTGGTTGGCAGTCCTGTTCTATTTGTGCCAATGCATTTGGAAAAATCAGAATAGACCACTTTTAAAGTGGCTGAAATGGCTATCTTGAAGCTAAACACATAAAGTTGAGTTTTATTTATCTTATTTTTCTTCCGCTACGGGGAGATTTTCAGTTTTGAAGGATTCTTTTACTGAGTTTGTGGGTCATTTGTCTATATGCTCTGTGTACATGTGTTATTATCCCAACCCATCTTCTGATAACAGTCATGGCATCTTTTAAATTTTTATCAATGTCCCTACTTCATTTCTATGTGTATGTCTTCTAGTGTAAGAGTTTATATTCTTTTATTTTTCAATTTCCCTACCTTCCTCTCCTATCCACTTGGTTTCTGTTAAGTATTTTAAAACCCACCTTCTATTCATGGTTTCTCCCAACTTTATTGCTTTATCTATCAGGGTTACTACATTCCAAATCTCTTTTTTAACCCTATTATCTTGTGCCAACTTCTTTATCGCGCTCACACGGTTATCCTTCCCTAGTTTTCACCGCATCCATATGTAGATATTGTCCATGTTTTCAAGCATCCAAAAGGTCATGCAATGTGTTGCTTAAATGGAATGCCTCTGCAACATGACAGTAGTTTATTTGTCATATTTTCAAGGTACGTCTAATTGTACATCATTTAGTGGAAAAATTATCTTAGTAATTGGATCAAAAGTTGTTTTTAGCATCTGCTGGAAGAACTGGTCCAGGCCGAAATTAACAGCCGGAGCTCTCTTTGCTCGAATTATGATTTTTGAGTCCAATGTGAAACAAGTGCATTGACATCAATTGTTGTTTTTGCTTGCAACTAACCTTATGGCTACCAATTATTGTATAAGCAACAATAGATGCACATGGTTTTGTGTTGGCAAGTTTAGTCACATACCCATTTTGTCTTGAATAAAACTTGAACCCTCGGCCTTCCACTTTAACAGGTAGAGGAGATACACTAGGCTATAGCCCTTAGTGGTATAGGTGCACATGGTTGACTGAACTTTCGTCATGAACAAATATAAGAAGTGAACTGGACTGGGGCTTCCCCTGCTTTAAGCCTTTACTTTGGAGCATTCAGAAGAAAGAAATAATTTTTGAGGACATGGAGCTCCTCAGCTTCAAATTGAAAGCTACTTTATCTAGCAAACTTTTCATCCAAGGAAGTGGGAAAGTCAAATGGGAGAATTTACTCTAAATTTATGAACTCCTTAAATTGTATTTTATTTTTATTGTTTTGGCATTTTGTATGCGTCGAGTGTACGTGATCCTTGACAGAAGCCTTTGTTATATTTAATAATATTTAGTTATACATTAGAAAATGTGAACTATTGTTTTGGTCCTTTTTACCTCCCTCATTCATGCAAATCAAGGATAATTACCAGAAACAACTCAGCAATCCAGCTAAACTTGAAACCTCACAGTTCTATGTTGTTAGCTCTTCCGATACCATTTTCTTATTCCTCCATTTTGGAGCATATTCTCCTCTAAATCATAGGCTATCGTGGCATTTCTCACTGCTTTTATGATCAATCCATGTTTTTTTTTTTTTTTTTTTTTTTCACCTCCTCTGAGTAGAAATAACGTTTAAAATTCATTGAATAGCTCTGTTTTGGTTCTACATGTTATTCATCTTCATGGCACATGGTCAAACTATCTTTGACAACTTTTGCTTACCTTGTCTAGAATACTTGTGCGGCTTTCAACTTCTCACATGGGCATTGATTTCATATATTGAGCAGGAGGGTGATAAGGATACCCTCCATCTGCTGCGACAGGTTGATTTTTGTCCATTGTGCGGTTAGCTACGATATACTCCACTTCTTCTTAAATAGTATATTGTATTTTTCATTTCATCCACATCTATTTTGTTAGACATGTCATTTGATTACCACCCTTTGGCTTATAGAAAATAGATTGTTTTAGAAGCACAATGGGTGGAGTGATCTTATCTTGTTTGGGAAGCTTAGGAGATGGAAGTTCTTGTGAATACTTTATGTTGTACTTTGTAGGGTAGGGTCACTCCCCAACTCTTGTCTTGGGATCATCTTTTAGGTTAAATAGGGTCACTCCCCACCTCATATTAGGTCTTGTCTTGGGATCATCTTTTAGGTTAAATCTATCTGAAAGTCAGTGGTGGAGAGATTTGAGAACAGGTTTTTTGGAAGCTTGGAAAGGGCAATACCTGTTAAAGAGGGTACAGGGTAGACTTACTCTCATCAATAAATTATTCTGAGAACCTAATCTATATTATGTCCATTTTCACCATCCTGGCCTTAGTCCCAAAAAGTTTCCGAGGAACTTTCTATAGGTCTGGAGGATGATATTTGAATATTATTTGGTCAATTGGGAGACAGTTTGATATTTTTTGGAAGGTGTGAAGAAGTTGAGGTTGCTTAACAAATTCTTGCAGAGTAAATGGCCTGGAAATGCGCTCCTGACAGGGGCAGCATATGGAGGGTGGTGATGATCAGGCAATGTGAGAGTACTGGGGGTCACTGGATTTCATACGAAATTAATGAATTCAGCAACTATGGAAGGCAATCAAGTATAGTATAGGTGAGAAGGCTTTCTTCAAGAGTATGGGCTTGTGAGTAGGAGATGTTTAAAGGGTGAAATTTTTGCACTATATATCCATACCTATTGTGAGGATATTGCTTTCAAGTTGGCCTTCCATATATATATATATATATATTTGGAATCTTAGTAGTTTCAGATGCCCCCTCGGTTTAGTAGGGTAGGCTACGACTGGCAGTTAGAGTCAATAGATAAGGTTTTTATTTATTTATTTATTTTTGCTTTTAAAGTCTGTTATATGGCACCACTATCACTAGAGGGAGGGAAGACATGTTGAGTTAGAAGGCCCCTAGGAAAGGAATTTTGTTGTGAGATTGTAGTACAAGGTGTTGAGAGGGGACAACACCACTGATGAGTGTGTGTGTGTGTGTGTGTGTGTGTATACTTTTTAATTTATATATTTTTTGTTGGGTCTGATTTCTGCTTTGTAGAAAAGCTTAATGATTGATAGTCTGGTTCAAAGAAAGAAGATGCGCTCCCAAATTGGTGTTGTACATGCAAGGGCGCGAGAAGGGATGCTGTCAAAGAGACAATCATGTTGGTTTAGATGTGGCTCGTTATGCCTTTTCTGGTGTGTTGATACAGTGTTGGTGACAAGCTAATTCCAGAAACTAACTTTTTCAATGATTTGAACCCCAGTAAAAAATTTAATGTTGTTCTTGTTCATGTGTACATCATTTTTCCCTATAAACTCATCTACTTCTAGTGTTGAGGAACATGGTGTAAGCTTCTAATGGATAAATGTCGAAATGTAGGGGTATCTCGTACATACATCAGAGTGCATTGATATATAATTCTTCCATGCATGGGGATGTGCATTTACAAAATTATGTAACAAATCAATATCTTTTTTCTGCACTCATTGGGAATACAATGTATTATGTGAAACATATTGGCAGATAACAAAACCATGATGTGATAAAGTTTGGCCTGAGCGGTATTGTTTTTATATTTTTTTAATCTTCAGCTTTCCTTAGCTGAAAAATTAAAATGACATTATAACACATATTTACAGGACATTTTGAAAACCAACTTTTGAGAATCTTTCTGCAAATGACCATTAGAAGTAGTTCTCAAGTTTGCATGTTTTTAAAATTTTGGACATTTTGATTTGTTGGAAATGAAAATATTTTCAAAACCTTGGATTTTAATAGACTACTGAACTCGACCTTTATTATGACATTCTTTGAAGCTTTCCATTATTGAGCTTCAATAGATTGCTATAGCAAAGCACAAAGTTTTGTGCTTACATATACCTATGCAACAAATTGTCCAGTTATTTTTTTTTTCTCACTATTCAAACCGTGACTTTTCTTGTAATTTGTAACATACATCTTCTTTATTGTTCTTCACATTTTCTGCAGAGGCTTGCCAAATGGTTGTTGAACAATGGAGCCCGTCCAGTGAAGCGCAATGAGGCTGCACGGATGATTGTAAAATGCTCGGAGTCTATGTGGAAGCTAACTTACTATGCCACTGTTGAAACATGGGTTCTAACAACTACCTACGATGAGACATGGTTCAGAGATATAAAAGAGTACTTCAGCAGCTGGCCAAATCAAGAGTTAAGGTGAGTAATAAAATTGCTTGGACTTCTTATGGGACAGACAAACCTCCTTTCTTGAATGTTTTAGAATAACAGAAAGCACTTTAATCTGCAACTTGCAAATCTTTGAATTGTTAGCTTCTTCTTATGAACACTTGGCCAAATAAGAGCAGATAGTGTTGCCCAGTTTTCTGGACAGTAGGAATAATTTTCACTAACTTGTGAACTTTAAGGAGGATGTGGCAAAAGTTGTTTCTGTTTTGATCTGTGGGGTGGGGGGGCATAGCAAGGGAAGATATAATTGTGCATTGAGATTGACAGAAGTTACGAATTTTCTCCTCTTGGAGAGTTTTTAATTCTATAGTTGAAAAAGCACTGTGTTACGAAGAAGTTGGTAAAAAAGAGAAGGCCTGTAAAATAGCTGCCCTTTGTCCATAATTACTCTAAGACTTCATGCATAGGAGGCTCCAACCATTTAGTTCAGCGTGGCAAGCATAATTTGTGTTGATTTTTAATACAACTTTAGATAGCTGTCTATGCTGGTAGTTTCACCCTCTTCACAAATTTAAGATAATTATTACCCTCCTTCAGCTGATAAAAATATTGCTTCGTGCAGTAATCTGTCACTGTCTCAAGTGGAGACATGATATGGTCCTTTGATGGGTTGCTATTTTGAATTTTGCAAAACAAAATTAACTTCGCAATTGCTGCTTTGGAAAAATGCATTGGCGTAGGTCTCCTTATCATATGTTCCCAATTTGACAGTTAAAAGTTTCATTCTATGACACCTCTTAATCTCATTATTATCCTTGCCTTTATCCCATATGGATGGTATCGGCCACGTGAATTCTCTATTTGAGTTACAACTCCGCAATGATTGAATAACATTTTTAACTTTCTTGAATGACCTGCCACATTTCTCATTTCAGGCTTTCCCTAAAGATGTACTATATGTGCCAATGTGGGTTCTACATCTACAGCATTGCTGCCTTACTCACATGGGAAACTCGGAGGAAGGATTTCTCTGTGATGATGTCTCATCATGTAATCACTGTTATCCTGATTGGATACTCATACCTTACAAGGTAACTTTCTGATTTCATTTCATTTATTTATTTAATTTTTTTTTTTTGTGTGCGCTTTCACTGGTAATCTTTGAGTTAGTCAATGCTAATAGCATATCCTTGATACTTCTGGTACTCATCACTTTGCTACAACTCTATCACTGTGTGCTACAACGACTTGGCCAACAATATTTCTAATACTATGATTTCCATAATTTTAAAGTAAGGTCCTGCTGAATTGCAGTTTAAAAGATATGAATTAAATGATCCTTAAGTCTGATAATTAGTCATGTAAATCTCACCATATATTTATTGGAAATAAATCAGAATATATATCTATAAGGTATAATTTCCCTTATTTAAGTTTAGAAGGAAGATTCTTTTAACTTTAAAGGGATCCATGAAATACCTCAAATTAAGAATCTAAGTTATTCTAAATTTAATCATTACTCAAAGTAAAAATGAAAAAAAATTGAGCTCAATATTATTGAACAATATTTAAGAATTTTCTTGTGCGGTGATAAAAGCTTTGGCTGTCAAGGGTGAGAAAGTAGGTTTGAGTATGAGGGTAGTCATTTTTTTTTGGGTAAGTGAGGGCAATCATTTTGTGTAAATAATGTCGAAGGTTAGGTATGTATTAACTCCACCCTCTCAACATATTAGATTAATGGGAACAAACTTTGTAATGTCATTGTAAATGCTATTGCCTATTAGTTTAATCTGAAAGAGTTGAATATGGGAAACAACCTAAAGAAGGAAGCAAAATGGTCCCGATTTCAAGATTCTGAGTCAAAGCATGTGGTTTTGTAAGTTTCAGTTTCTTTTATCATTTTTTTCCAATTTATTTAGGAAAAGAAGCATTTTGAGGGGTTCAAGTGTATTCAGAACTTGCACAAATCATGCCTGTTTGACTAATATTTGGTATCAGTGACCTATGTGACACTGGATAATGTTGATTTACTCATAAGTTATGAATTATAAGATCATGATCCAACTTCCAAGATAATAATTTCTCTGTTGGATTCAGCAATTGTTGAAGTTTTTCTTCCTTTAAAGGTTAAAACCACTTGTTTTGATTCTTAAGTCCATGTATACTTGGGCTATCAAAAAAAAATTATATGTTATTGATGGGTCTTGTGGCGTTGGTGTTCGTCATATAAGAATGACCTACTCGGTGACTGTGTGAACCTGGTATTCTAAATTTGGCCCTGATGTTTTTTATACTATCATATGATTCCTTACAAATCATAAAAACTATCCAAGATATGTATATGAATACAAAAACTAAAGTTTGTACCGTGTGTGGTGACACTAGTGAGTTATCCACAAACGTAGGATTGCACCAAGGATTGGTGAGAAGCCCATATCTATTTGCCATAATTTTAGATGAAATAGATGTTTGTACATTCATATGGGATTAAGGCAAGGATGATGATGATGATATGATTGCCAAGCTTTTCTGACATTCACCATACGTTTGAACTTAAAAAATACCCTATCTTTTCCCTCTGCTGTTGATAAAATGCATGATGATCGTCATGAACCTTTTTGCTTATAAGCTGACATAGTTGTGCACCACAAATTCTCTTGCTATATCGATTAATATCAATAAATTCAATATTTGAAGATTGTGCTAGAAATTAACACTGTATAACGAGTATGTGTGAATAATTTTCCTATTGCAAGCAATATAATGAGTTGTACGTAGTATAGCATTAGGCTATTGCAATCATCTACCTGGTTTTTTAATTTTTGAAATATGCTAAATATTTTAGTGATGAAATGTATAAGGTGGTGGTGTATACCTTAATTTGAGAGTTCAAGTATTCTTCACTAAAATGGCATGCCATCAGTGGCCTTTTTGTCATATGTTAGTACCATAATTCATGGACATAGTGATGTAACTTTATTAGTGTTAAAGTTAAGCTTGCTTGTTCTGAATTATCCATGACCAAGCACTCCAGAGTTAAAACTTCTAGACGGTAATAATCATCATAAAACTATCATTAATGAATTAGAAAGCTCTTGAAAGGGGCATCTGAGTCCATTAAAATATTTATCTCTACCTAGTGTTGCCAGCTAGTATATCCAGTCCAAGCTCAGGTTCAATCGATGTCAAAATAAAATGATTGATATTTTTATGTGCATTTCCTATGGGAAGAGTAATTAATATATGTCCATTTTACAGCTTCTTCCGGATTGGCTCAGTTATTCTTGCATTGCATGATGCAAGTGACGTGTTTATGGAAGCTGCTAAAGTTTTCAAATATTCTAGGAAGGAGCTTCGAGCTAGTGTGTTCTTTGGACTTTTTGCTATTTCATGGCTTATACTAAGGCTGATAGTCTTTCCTTTTTGGATAATCAAGGCCTCGAGGTTTGTCTTTTAAATAGATTTTTTTTTTTTTTTTTTTTTTTTTTCACTAGTTACCATTATATTGTGCCTGCTGTCACATGTTCCTTTGTTTGGTTGGCAAATCCCAGCTATCACGTCTGCCAGGTCTTGAAGATAACGGATGCGTATCTCATATCATTATACTATGTTTTCAATACGATGTTACTGACCCTACTTGTTTTCCACGTATACTGGTGGATTCTTATATGCGCAATGATCACAAGACAGCTGAAAAATAGAGGAAAAGTTGGTGAAGATATACGGTCTGGTAAGCATTTCCTGGTTTCATATCTGAATTTAAGACTCCATACTCTGTTTTCTGACAAAACATAAAATATTACTGATCTTATCTTAAATATCATGAATTGCTCTGTGAGTGTGTGTGTTGGCATGCGTGTGGGTTTGTGTGAGTTAATATGAGAGATTTTGTGTTTTTTTCCTAAAGGCTCCGTCTGAGATAGAAAAAGTTGACTTAACAATTTCAGTAGTTTTTTCTGCTGACTTGCCTTTGTTGCTGTCCCATTCAGTATATTATGGTATGAGATAAAATGTGCTATTTTCCACATTTCTGAAAGTGGCTTTCTTTTTATTTCTATTTAAAAGAACGGATAAATTATACGGACCTCCCCTAAGGTTTGCCATAATTACACAGACCTCCTCTTTGGTTTTCAAAATTACTTTGACCTCCCCTAAAAAGCAAACCTGGTAACACAGACCCCCTATTACTGACGACCGTCAATAAACTAACAGATTTGCCTATTTTACTTAAATACCCTGAGATAACAATGAGAAGTTACTATACTGCCCATCCCTATCTACTGATGAAACTTAAATCATATCAAATTTAGAATCCAACAAGCCTTTTCATCTCAACCAAATTAATCTCTCTTATATAATCTGAAAATTTACTCCAACAACCTTTCACCCTCTTGGCTGCAATTTCAACTTGCCCAACTTACCGAAATTTAGAATCCAACAAATCTTTTCATCCCAAGAACCAAACTAATGCCTCTCTCTCTCTCTCTCTATATATATATATATATAATCTAAAATCTAAAAATTTACTCCAACAACCTTTCACCCTCTTCGCCTGCAACTTTAACTTGCCCCAACTTACCAAAAAAAACAAAAACTTCAACTTTCCCAAAATCTTGAAAAACAACTTTCCATGGGAAAAAGTATCTTGAAAAAAAATGAAGATTGGAGCTTAAAATCACATGGTATATTCTCAAATTCAGAGTGAAATAGTTCCCCAACCGAATCAATCACAATCACTGTTAATGGGCAAGTGATTAGGTGTCTTAGCGAGAAGCTGGTCAACAGGTGCAATACGTGGAACAATTGGTTTGCGAATGGACTTAGAAACACGCCATGAATATGCTCCAATTGTGTGTTAAAGAACAATATGCAAGTGTAATCTTCTATAAATGAAAAGGAAGGAATACTACTTTCCGAAAAAAAAAGGAATATTGATCTAATTCCAACTCAGTTTCAGGAAGAGAAACAAATTGTTAATCCATTACAGAGAGTGACCAATTTAGAGATGGAAACAAAGATATGGGGAGTGATATATAGAGAGAGAGATGGGTGGAGTGACTTGATCTATGCCGGCCACAAGTTAGTGACAGACAAGCACACAGGTCTGTTCCTTCTCGATCAATCCATTCCCTCACAGTGAAACCATGGAAGTCTTGAAAGTATAGGAATACATCTTGTTAGCAACCATCTACTCCAAAAGTTTAAGTTGTTAGAAAAGGTGTAACTTTAATATTTAAATCCCTCAACGCGCCTCCTCACGTGTTTCAATTTTAATGAATGGTTAATTAAATGGTAAACGTGGAAGTCTTGAATTGGGTATAGGAATACAACAACATATCAAATATAATAAATGGGTATTATCAAACATCTATTGATACCCACGGAAAAAAAAAAAAAAAAAAAAAAAGAAGGAAAAGAAAAAAGGGTTTGGAGACTGCACAAGGGTTACGTTTGAAGAGATGATGGTGCTTTTGTAATTTCCCTCACGTTATAGGTTTAAATAGTCTTTCCATTCCAACCAAGGGCAAAATTGACATTATAGTAATAAGTACATGACATAAGCAATTTCCATCGGTGACCCTTAAAAAGGGAGGTCCGTGTTACAATTTACAAGGTTTGTCTTTTAGGGAAGGTCCGTGTAATTTACCCTTAAAAGAACCCACTTTTCGGAACATAGAATAGGAGTTTTTTATGGGCATATCTAGCATCTATATTATAATAGTTGTCAAAACAGCAATTAGGAGGATAATAATAAAATGAAGGGTTAAGTATCTAAAACACCCCTAAGGTTTACTTTTTGAGCAAATAACATACATCTCTTTTACTTTGGGTATATAACTCTCTCAAGAATTAAAAAATGTTATAAAGAACTTTTCAGCTGTTACCATTAAAAATACACCGTTAAAAGAACATGTGCCTGGCACATGACTGATTAAATTTAATAAATAAAAAAATACTCCTTTTTATTCCCAAAATGCCCTTCCCTTTGTATATAAATCACAAAAATAAAGGATCTAATAGTAATTTTACATTAACTTAATTTTTTTTTTAATTGTTGGAAGGACATTTTAGTATTTTTATCACCCCATTAATGGCCAATCGACGGGAGGTCCTTATTTGCCCCTACAATAAACGTTATGGGATTTTATTAGCTATATGTATACTACAAAGGTGTTAAATGCCCGCGAGCCTATAATGAATAGCATAAGTGGATTATTACTTCATTCTTCCTGTTTACATATTTTGATCATCTTTATTTAATTTCATTAAACTGCTACTAACTCCTCTCTACCCACCCACAGATTCAGAGGATGATGAATAGGAGGAAGATTCCGCTCAAACTTTTTTTGCACATTGTCAATATGCATACATACCCTTGAGGAGTTTCATTCGCCTTCTTTTATAGGTTTATGAGCTGAAAATTTTAGTACATATTGGTGGTGTTAGCTATGGGAAGATTGCTTTTGACGAGACTTCATTTGCTTGATTCTTACCCGTAGAAATGGGCTGAAGTTTCTACATTTCTATTTTGTTTTTTTGTTTTTTTCTTCTTTTGAGTAGGAAAAAAGACACAGGACCATCTAGTAAGTGGGCTCCATGATAACCCTGTGTTGTATAAAATAATTAGTTATTGCTGTATAATTCTCAATGATCTCTTCTTTTTTCTTTTCTTTTTTTTTTTGAAGTAAATAGATGATCCCTTGCTCCGAGAGTATACTTCTGTGAAAAAATGAACAGAGCAGTTAACAAGATTTTTAATTTATTTCTCTTTTTTGTGTCCAAAAATGAATGATGATATGATTAATTATAATAATAATAATATACCTGTCTCAGCTGTGAGAATGATTTTTCTCCTTTTTTTATTTTTTATTTTTATAATTCGTTGAATATGTAAACTGTGGGGTGAAGTAATTCTGGAATTTGTTATTCATAATGGGTTTTGATATAAACTTGTATCATTGTGGTGTGAAGTTAATGATTTATGTCAAATTTATATATCAAAACCCATTGTAATATAGGCAATATTGTACCCTTTTTTTTTTTGGTTGTGAAACTGTTTTGCACTCATCCGACTGCTACTAGCAGAAACAGATTTAAAAAAAAAAAAAAAATGCCCACTGGACCCATGATTTTTTTTAATCCAAAACATTGGTGAATCTTTAAAAAAAATATCTCAAACATGAAACAACAATTTCTGAGAGACTAGTGAATTTTAACAGGAAAAAGAGAGAGAGAAAAGGTCTTGGGTCATTTCGTGATTTGTATTGATCATCCACACAGACATCTAACTATAGTGGAGATATAAAGACAAAACCATAGATTTTTCTTTCTATCCAAAACACAATCACGGACATCAAATAAAAAAACTAATGCGCAAATTTATGAGAGATTGGGAATTGTTCAATAGCGAAAAAAGAATTCTTAACTCATATTAGAGTATATATCAGCATCATGCCGACTAAACATGCAAAACAGAACCACCAGCAACATTAGACCTTAGACTGAACTTGCTAAAAAAAGAAAAGGTGTGGGTCATTCCTTGAGAAGCATCAGATCAGGCAACAGAAGCCATGTGGACAATCAAGTCGATCACACGTGAACTGCCAACAAGAAAACAGTTATGTTAGAATATACTACCATTGTATCAATCAACAAAATCATATTTCAACAAAAAGATCAAGAATGTGAAGTTTAATTATTAATACATGAAATACAAGAATTAAAATGTACCTGTAACCCCATTCGTTGTCATACCAAGAGACAAGCTTGACGAAGTTTTCGTTCAAAGCAATCCCGGCCTTGGCATCAAAGATGCTTGATCTGTATTTCCATTAATCAAATGCTCACGTTAATTTAATTTCACACACTTCGTGCAATTAGTAGGAAACCCAAAGAATTAACAATAGTTTACCTGCTATCACCGACGAAGTCAGTGGATACCACATCATCTTCAGTGTACCCCAAAATTCCCTTGAGCTTGCCCTCTGATTCCTCCCTGGGGAAAATTAAGAAACAAAACAAAGAATTAGTAACATTCCTTAAATTATCTATCAAGGGTGGAATCAATTTCATCCTTTGCACAAACAATTAAGCTCGACAAGACTTACTTGATGGCAGATTTAATCTGCTCATAGGTGGCCTTCTTCTCGAGCCTTACAGTGAGATCCACAACTGAAACATCCACAGTTGGAACTCGGAAAGCCATTCCGGTCAATTTACCGTTCAGTGCTGGCAGCACTTTCCCAACAGCCTATGTTATAAAATTAAATCATTTTAAGTCAATTCACATCACAGATGCCAAACCAAATACAAAAGTCACTATTGAAGAAACAATCTTCCAACTAAAAACAAGTACATGATTTATCAAATACAATCTGGTGGTGTTTATTCCCGAATAAAAATTACCTTGGCAGCTCCAGTGCTGCTAGGAATAATGTTGAAGGAAGCAGCTCTTCCACCCCTCCAGTCTTTGCTCGATGGCCCATCAACGGTCTTCTGAGTGGCTGAATAACATATCAAAGAAGAAGAATTAATACCAATTTGTAACTCCAATCTTAAATTAACAATACAACTAATCATACAAGCAAAAACACCCCCCACCAGTGATGGAGTGAACTGTGGTCATGAGACCTTCAACAATGCCAAATCTATCATTAATAACCTGAAATTTTCCAAGATAGAAATAAAATTAGAAAAACCATGTACTTGTTTTACAATTATACATAAACCTTCTTATAAATAAATATAAAGAACATCTTTAAGAATATACCTTGGCAAGGGGGGCAAGGCAGTTGGTAGTGCAGCTAGCATTGGAGACAATGTTGAGTTCAGGTTTGTACTCCTTCTCATTGACGCCGACAACAAACATGGGAGCATCCTTGCTTGGGGCTGAAATAACAACCTTCTTGGCACCACCCTGATTATAACAAACACTCCAACTCAATCACTACCATGCAAGAATATAACCTTCAAAGTTCAACAATTCATTTTTGATCAAGTAAGTTCTCACAAACACTGCCACACCGGGCCTCCCCGGATTATACCATTGGACATATGTAATACACCATTGGTCAAAATTCAATTCCATTCTTATCAATATATATCAAAAATTGACTACACTGAAGACCCCAATCACCATTAAAACAGAAATGTTCTCCATTTGGTAAAAAGTAAAAAGGGGTTTTATATTAAAATCATATGAAAGCCAATTAATGGTCAATACTCATTACATGTAGCAATAAATTCAACAATATAATTGCTAGTATACAGAGATCTATTATATATCTAACAGTGAAATCAACAAACAGAAAGGAGATCATAGCAAACCTTCAAGTGGGCAGCAGCCTTATCCTTGTCAGTGAACACTCCAGTAGACTCCACAACAAACTCCGCACCCGTTTGTGCCCAGGGGATTTCTTCAGGGTTTCTGAAGAATCATGCACAATTTGTATAAAATTATAAATTCTCTCAAATTCATGTTCTGAATACTCCGATTTTAATATCACAAATGGGGAAAAGAAAAAGAAAAAAAGGGATCAATACCTGACGCCGAAAACAGCGACGGGCTTCTCACCGAAGAGAAGGGTCTTATCGTCCTTTACCTTGAGCTCATGGTGTTTCCATTGGCCATGAACACTGTCATACTTGAACATGTATGTCTACACATATCGCAGTCACAATATCACACTTTAAGTAAATGCTCATACATACACACAAACATATAGGTGTGTGTATAGAGAGAGAGAGAGAGAGAAAAAAAACAAATTATGGTACCATGTAATCAGTGGTGATGAAGGGATCATTAACGGCGACAAGTTCAACATCGTCTCTCTGGAGAGCAACTCTAGCAACCAGACGACCGATCCTTCCAAAACCTAACAGTGGATTTAAGAAGAAATCAATCAAATCAGTCAACGCATACAACTACTGATCAAGATCAATATCATTACTAAAAACAAGAATCAACCAAACCTATTTTAAGAAAAAAAATAAAAAATAAAAAATAAAATAATAAAATAGCAAACTAAGATTGAACAAAAAAAAACAAGTACCGTTGATTCCGATCTTGATCTTCTTATCAGAACCTGTAAAACAAATCAAAAACCCACAAAAATTATTATAGATGTAAATAGAGAAGCAATGACGAGATCAGTTAATTAGAGAAATAGTATTACTGTTATTACCCATGAATCTAGAGCGAGAAACGAACGAAAAGTTGTACAGAGAGTGAGAGAGAAATCAACGAAGAGAGAGATGACTGATGTGAGAGAGGTTGGGGGGATCAAATTTATTCAAGCGTTCACTATTCTAGGTAATGTATACTTTTCTTTTTGGAAAATAATTTGGAATCTCAAAAATTTTTATTATGCTCGGTTTCTATATTCATTATTTATTCCTTATAGTCACACTTTCGTCATTTAAGGGTAGATGGAATATTCGAAAGGAATAGTCCAGAAGGTTAGGACGTGTATCATGCGACTATCATGCAAAGAAACTGAACTTTTATTTTTTTACAATTTGCCCACTCAGGTTACCGAAAAAAAAGAAAAAGGCAAATTTGCCCTTATTAAAAAACGACGCAGTTTAAAATAATGTTGACTTAAATTGCTGACGTGGCAAATTTAATGTTGACTTAAATTGCTGCAGGTTTTACGACGTCGTCTGATTCGGCTTCTCCCGACATTCCCAGCGACAATTTCTTACTGGCGAACACGAGGACGGCAGCGACGATGATGGCAAGCGAGAAGGTGTGATTCAAACCCAGAATACACAAAATACCCTTTTGATTTATAGGTATATACATCCCAATTAATACAACCCAATCAAACCCAGAATATCTACTTAGTTTATTTGTATATTCATTCGTGTACATATATGTAGAGAGAGAAAATGGGTGTTCTTCTGTATTGGATTGAGTTGAATTATTAAAAAATTGTCCCTTGGTGAATCGGCGGTGATGGTACAGACTTGCGGCAGAGAGAGTGTGTTGTATATAAGCTGTGAACAAGATTACAACACCAGACGGTAATTCTCGAGGGATTGATCCGAAGAAAAAATATGTTGTTTCGCCTCTTAAAGTTGCAGAGAATGAAGTCGTCGTTTATGTAAAGCAAGTTGTGAGTGATGTTAATATGGCTGGGCCACTATTTGTTGAAGGTTGCTTATGAGACTTATGAGTGGGCATAAACGTGATGGATTTGGGAAATCAGTCACCATTACTCCTGCTAATGATTAGCGTGAGTTTGGAGAATAAGAGGATGATCTCCAATTACTAATAAAAAAAAAATTGATGAGCCAGCTGTTAATGGATGGATGAATTGGAGTCAAATCCCTAATTCTTTAGAGTTGCATAGGAGACAGAGTAAAGAAGGGAAGGCCAAATCCCTAATTCTTTAGAACCCTAATTTCAGAAAATCCCAAAAATTTCAACCCATTGACACATGAAAACATAGAAGAAGACGATGACCATTCATAGATGTTGAGAGAAGGGGAGTTACCGGAGACAGAGAGGATGACTGGAATCGCCCGGCGGCCAGCTCACCACCACCATCAACGTGGAGAATTTTCCTCATACCGAGACCTCCACATGAACAACTTCGAATCGAGAATCCGTGCTCACCACCAATCCTCACCGCTCGCTGAACCTAAAAATGGCAAACCCAGTTCGGTACTGATCTTCCCTTGCTCCACCGCCGTTCTTAATCACGTTTTCTATTGTTGCTGCCCGTCAAGCACCGACATCCTCTTCACCATCGTCGGTGTTCGTG